TAAATAGAATATATCTCTCCTTATTTGAAGGATCTTACATCATGTTGGTAAGTTTTTCTTCACAATGTCAAGCACAATGTCTAGATGTAGACATTGTGGTTGTCATTGCAGAAAAAAACTTACCAAAAACACATAAGACCGTGGAAAGAAGGAGAGAGAAATGTCATAAAATCAATATTTTGTGCTTTATCTCTCATGCCATGTGTGTACCGTGCACATTGTACCATTGGAGATGCTCTAACACTCCGCATCATTCAATATTTTTAACATGCATACCTCCGCATCATTCTGAATTCTGAATACTCCGCATCATTAGTCATGGACCCGGGCCGGGCCGGGCCCGGCCGGGCTTTTTTTTTGGGAAGGAAGGCCCGGGACCGGCCCGGGTAGCCACCGGGTCCGGTCCGGGTCCGGGCCGGGCCTCCGGTTCGGTTATAATTTTTTTTTTTTTTTTGCTTTCCTAACCCCCCACTCACCCCCCAACCCCCCCCCCCCAAACCCCCAAACCCCTCCTAACCATCAAGCCCAACCCAACTAACCCCAAAAAATGAAAAAAAAAAATAAAAAAAATCAATTCGGCCCGGGCCCGACCCGGCCGGGCCGGTTCGCCAAATACTAGGCCCGAGCCCGGACCCGCCCCCCCCCACCGGGCCTAGGCCCGACCCGGACCCGAGAACCGGGCCGGTTCCGGGCCCGCACAGTGGCGGGCCGGGCCGGGCGGCCCGAACCGGGTCCATGCCTACGCATCATCTCTGTTTGAGACTTTGAGCTGCTTCAGGTGGAATTATTTACTAAAATTTTGTAACCATATTTTTCATTAAATTTAACATACGTCCACCAAATTTCAATTTAAAATTCACTTAGAAACACCTCAATTCCACAAATGGAGGTGGCTGGACAGCATTCTGGTCAAGAAATTTGTGACAAACATTTGTGTGCATATATATACTTGTTAAAAGGGACTTTTTTTTTTTTTTTCCTTTTTTACTTTTTAGGACGGACGGAGTACTATTTAGGTTAGGCATGGACTCGGGCCGGGTGGCCCGACCTGGAACCGACCCGTCACTGTTTGGGCCCGGCCCGAACCGGTGGCCCAGCCAGGGACTAGTCTGGGTAGGCCCGGACCGGGGGGTTTACGGTGCAGGCTCGGGTCACCCAAAAGACGAACCGGCCCAGCCAGTCCGGGCCCGGTTCCCGGCTGTTTTTTATTCTTTTTTGTTTTTTCAATTTTTTCTTTTATTCTGGGCTGGGTGTTTTGGGATGTTTTGGGGGGTGGGGGTGAGGTGGGGTCGGGGGTTAAGTAGAAACCCGAGGCCCGGCCCGTACCCGGTGGGGACCAGGGCCGGTTCCGGGCCTTCCCCCAAACCTCAAAAGCCCGACCAGGCCTAGGCCCAGCCCCGGTCCATGCATAATTTAGGTCATTAATTGATAATAGAATGGCATAACACAAACAAACAGTCAATATTTCTAATAAAGTGCCATTAAACCATTCTAATGCCCCAATTCAAGTATTAATAATTCAAGCTCTCAGAGCATATACACATCAATGATCAAACAAAAATCACGATAACTGAGCCTCAGATTTCACTGGAAACTGGGCAGCCAACCCCAGCCATTCCTTGTTTTTTTCTTGCTCTGAAGAAGCACCCCCCACACAGTTCCTTTTCTCGTATGGTGCCTTGGATGTAATCCTGTTATCCCATCACATATTTCCACCATCAATTCTCAAAACACAACTTTTGAAATGTCATAAATATAACACAATTGTAGTTGAGGTGTATGTAGAATAGTTTACAAGCCCTTATAATGTACAAGATTAAGGCTTATCAGGCGCCATTTGAGCTTGTATTTGACGTAGGAAAAACTCATTTTTATTATAATGTAATCTCAGACAATATATATTTTGGTTCAAAAGTTGATTTGAAATGCCACTTTCAAAAGTGTTATTTAATAAAGAAATTCCCCACTTGAAACCACAACTGCACATTAGACCATATTTTGGTTGGAATATGCACAGGAGGTTCACATTGACAGTATGAACATTTGGTTGGAATCATTTGAAATATAACATAATTTTAGTGAAGTTCACTTTTTTATTTCTACAATTCAATGTTGAGACTTTTAATTGAAAAATAACGCTCGGCGCTTGCCTGTGCTTTCTCTTCTCCAAGAACCTGACAAGGGAACTCCTCCTAGCAATGGGCAAATCTACAGCAGAAAACAAACAGCATTTCTACAAATAAGCTTCCCCCACAAAAAATTGGCAAAATGATCTTCTGTATACACGAAACCAGAAACTTTTCTAAAAAAGGGCAGCCCGGTGCACATTGCTGTCCCTGCAAGGTAAGGGTCCGGGAAGAGGATCCCACCACAAGGGTGTATAAGGGGGCAAGCCTTCTCTTGTCATTTTGACAAGAGGGCACTCCCAAGACTTAAACTAGTGACCGAGAACCTCTTAAGTAAAAAAAAGACAAGATAAATTGGACATTACCAGAATAGGGTCTCTGGTTTCCAAAACCAGAAACAGCCTTAGAAACAGGATTAGCATCAGCACAAGGTAAGATGTTGGGGATTTGGGTGTTCATAGCCAATGCAATAACTTCCTTCGCCTTCTCAGCTGGAAAATCATTGAACCTCATCACTTGACCATTATAGAATATTGTCATTGGTGCTCTTTCTTGATCTGCCACTCCCACACTATCCCACAATGAACAAGAGACACAAAGGGTCAGAAAGATTAGACCATCTCTAAGGAAAACTTTGAATCTTTACATACAAGAGTGATTAAGTCATACCACCTAGGTAGAATTTCAAGATACAAAATCAACTTTTAGACCGTACTACTCGTCCTATATAAAGATTTAATATCTTGGTTTGTATTTTTTATATTTGACACCTTAACACTTAAACCAATTTGAGCAAGGACATTATAAAGCATTATTGGGTTTCATCCTAGAAAGGTAATTATTTCAAATTGTCAAAAAAGGAAATGGCTGATCGATTAGACCCACTTGGATTTTATCCTAAAAGGTGAATGAGTAGCTAAATGCACCTAGTGAACTTAATTTTTAAATTAGGCAGATGCAGGTTTTCTCTGAGAAACAAACCTTGAATCGATCTTTTTGGAAGGAAAAAGATTCAATGGCATGAGACCCGAATTCTGGGCAGACTTCTCAAGCATTGGAAACAGATTCATTGTGGGTGTTCCTGTTTCAAGGCAAAAACAGAAGTTTAGACGCATGTACTTGAAAGAACTAGCAGCTATTACACTGAAAAGAAGTAAAAATAATTAATAAATGGGAGTAAACAAAAGGAAAGATAGAACCTTTGAATGAAATTCATGAGGTTTGGGGGAATAAGAAATACCCGAAGTGAGATCTGCAAAAGAACCATTTTCCTTCAAGTATTGGCTCAAAAGTGCACAAGTGTGAGAAAAGTTGGACCTATGGCCGGAGACCCTGCCGGAATCCATAGTTTCTGATGAACCCATATCTTCAGCTGATTTAGAAGTTCAGCTGCAATATGTTAATCAATAAATATATCATGTGATGAGAGGGATTGAGCACGAGGAATGTATGAGACTATGATGGTGGTTGATTCATCGCCCACTTGGTGAAACAAAATGCTTTCATTTTCTTTTTTGAATAATTTATTAAAGCACATTGGATAAGAGGGTTTCAAACACGTGTTCCTCGTTCCCACCTATTCTGTCAGCTGGGACCCGGCTAACTTTCTCACACGCTAAAGGAGTGTTTTTTTAATTTACTTCTATTTTTTTTTAAATTATTCTTTCCATTCCTATTTAAAATTATTTTTTTTTTTAAATTATTTTTTTAGGAATATATTTCTCCGTAAAGAATACAATTTTGACATTGTTTGACATTCTTTGGCACAATTTTGCATTGTGTTGTCATATTATTTAAGGATAGTAGAATAATTAAGGAAAAAATACTTTATTAAGAGACATCAATAAAAGGAAAGTGAAAGGTTTGTTTAGGGACGGAAAGAGTGTATAAAAAGTGATTAATAGTAAAAATTGGTAATGTTTAAAAAGAAAAGTTGTTTTTGAAAAGTAAAAGTTAGAGTTTTTAAAAGCATCGCTCTCTCTCTAATTCTAGTTTTTTTTATAATCTAGGTGTCGGGGTTTACGCTTTCATAATCCTGGAGTCTATGAACTACCGTCCAAACCCCCTAGACAGTTAAATTCGGATCTGATCACAGTCAGCCTCGTCGTTACTGGCTCCAAAGGACGAAACCAGAACTTACATCACCTGTCATCTAGGCTACTCCCCCCACAGTCCCACACACGAACCCGCTGCCTTCATTACAATCCTCTCGCGTCTGCAAAGGACTTCTCTCATGATGCTCGGTATGTTCGTATTGCAATCATTTTGGTCATTATCGATATTGAATCCTGCTACCAGCTTATTGGTAATACACATGATACTACACATTGTTCAGTCGGCTTACTCAGTAGTTCTACTATTCACGCTACCTGGTAAAGCCATATGCAGACTGTTACTTTGCACTTATCCCATGTGATTTTTGTTCCCCGTTTGAAATATCACTTGATCTCTATATCTCAACTGGACTTGCATTCCGATTGAGTTGTTTAGTCCACTGCTCAATATTGTGTTGTTCAAGACTGCATTACGAAGACGGTGATTGTAGTGGGTGAACTTCGGCAAGCCTCTATCATCTGAGACGTGTTTTTCGGGCTAATGTTATTAGTGTTATTTCATTTAACGCATGGCACCAGTGTGTGGGACATTCTTCTCCATGCATTCTTGCTATGCTATCTTAAGCTGGTCATGGAAAAAGTAATGCTCTTTTTCATTCTGTGAGGTATTTCTTGCTACAGACTAATACATCATCTCATGTGATGATTTTTTAAGATATCTTTTCCTTTGCATTTTTTGTTGACTCGAGCGGTCGAGCCCTACACTTCCTTCACTGAGAGTTTTCTATCGAACACTAATTCATAATTTCATATGATTGTCTTTAGAATCAGAATCACAATCCGGAATTCCAGATTAGTCTTAAACATTTGTTCAAGCGTAAGCAATACCAGCAGACTAGCTCATTCAGATCTGCATTTGTTCATGTCCATACAGATAGGCAGTAAGGCAGATAGCTATTGGCGTGACGGTTATTCACACAGCCCTATGCTAAGAGATGCTCAGCTGAAGAAATGGTAAACAAGCATTTCTTTTGATAGATAAATACACATTCCACTCAACCACTACACACATCCCAAATCGTGGATAATATTGACAACAATCCAGTTTATGTCATACAAACACACGTTTGATATACAACAACAAACAACAGAACAGATGATCAGACGCTCTTATCCATCGTCTCCGGAGCAGCAGAGATCACAGCAGCAGAAGCAACCAAGGCAAGCCAAAGAACCGAGAAGCTGAGTCAACACAACTGCACACTGATCGTTGATCCTGGAGCATGCTTGGATACAACACATGCAGCAGCACTTTTGACACATCTTTCCGCAACAGTTAGATGCCGCCTTAACAAAAACCTCAGCTGCGTCTGGTTTTGCCTCAATGGCACCTGGGGGAATATTTTCAGCAGTCGCTGTGTGGTTTCCGAAGCCAAGGCCGAGATTGTGGAGCATTGCTCTCTTTTGCGATGATATTGGATCTGCCATTTTCTGTTTATCACTACTGCCCTGATATCACATGAGCATGGCATGGTTCAGATGCAATGCACATGTAGCTAGAGAGCAACTAAACTAATCCAACTTATAAGAGAAAAGATAGGAAATTTAGTGTATGGAATCAAACTTATTAGGTTCATCAGCCTAATCACCATCATTTTCATTTCATTTTCATTTACCCTAGTGCCGCAAAGGCACAGAGAGACTGTTTCTGGATGACCCATAGTGAAAATCGCGTCCAAAATTGCATGGGCTGACTGCTACTTCATAACAAAGAAGCGCAGACAGTTTAGTGAGCCATTTTGCTTTATTTCATCATATTCTCAAGCCAAAAAATAATGAATCTTTGGCTCCATTGCAAATGATAGAAAACTTCAGCCTAATCACCACTGTATTTTATTAAACATTTAAAAACCAGTGGTCCAAAAGTTCTTTTTATGAAATGACTGCAATGAAGAGATAAGCATTTGACCACCATCATTTAGATGTTATTTCCTTCCACATGTATACTTTTTAACACCCTCCATTTTTAAGTAGCTTATATAGGTGACTCAGCTGAACAGCCTATTTTGCCGTTTCTGCTACTCTCAGAGAACCCAGCCAAGCTTCAACCTCACCAAGTGGGCCTTAAGCTCATGGAAGGCCTTCTGCTTGGCATCAAAACCCATCTGTACCTGTATGGTACCACCCTCACCCCACCAGGTGGACCCCAAAAGTAGATATGGAATATTAAAGTAGTTTTTTCTTTCATGAGATGGGAAAAGTAAAAGGACTAGATCAAGGATTTCTTAGAAATACAAGTCACTCCAAACATGAAAAACACTAACGTAAATTTATGAAGTCCAAATGAAATATCAATTGAAATGCTTTATGACAATTGTAAAAACTGATCAACAGGTCTTGAACATCTAATCTTTTTATTCTGCATTATTTATCCATTGCTTAGTACCTTCTTTGTCTTACTTGGATCTGGAGTTCCATTTATTTTCTCAGTCCTTACCAGTGCCATGCACGTATACTCGGAAACAACAGAGTGTTGCATACTCATTTTTGCAATCTACAAAAAAGTTAAACAACTCAAATGGATATGAAAGACAATTATGAACAATAATGGTCCAAATTCTACTGCTATGAACAGAAGTGGATATCTGAAGGGAAAGTGATTTGATGGCAGTCATCCTATTCCCGTAAGAACATCTCCAACATACTCTTTAATAAAGAGATGCTCTTCCTATTGAAGAGTTAACCATTAAAAAGTATCCTGATAAACTCTGTTTTAACATTTATTACTACCTCCGTCCCGTTGGAATGTTCCCGTTCGGTTTACGATGCTTGACTGACAATAAAGCAACTCGATCCCTGTTCACACTCCGCTTATTTTTAGTAAATAAAATTTACATATTCAGAAACTACATTAAAACCGCTACAAAGCCTGATCAAGAAAAGTTCAATTTGATAAAAATTTGATATATAAAATTAAAGATTAGGAGTGACCTAAGTTGACCAATGAATAGTGAACGGGAACATTCCAACGGGACGGAGGGAGTATAAGAGAATGAGTTTGCACTCCAGTTTTGAAGAGCAAAACCAACTCCCTCTATAATCAATTGACTTAAATGCAATTCCACTTTGAAAGGAAACTTCAACAAAAATTGCATTAAATGCAATGATATTTTTGCTCTCTGTTTGGAAAAATATAAGAAAATAAAGGGAAAATATAAACAAAGTTGGAAGAAGCAAAAAATCCCTCTTTGAGTTTAATGACTCCTTATTTTAATAAATATGGCCTTCATAGATACGAAGTATTGCATTATTGCAATATGTAAAAAAATGGTCTTCATATATATAGTCTCTTGGAGATGCTCTGAGATGTAGATAAATGAGGTATAAAACAAATGACTATAACGACCTTCTCCTCAAGCTCTTTGGTGCTAGTAAACCATGCCTGTGCTGTGAGCATCATGATTTGCTGTTGTGCTAATACCTGTAAAAAAATAATTGGCAATATTGTAGGTGAAGAAGTACTTAAAATAAGTGTGGTGCTAAGTATGCCGCATTAACATGTATGGCAGTATGGCACACATAAATAGAATTCTTCGGGCAATTAGATATCCGTGCTGTTTATTATTGTTTTTTCGGGGGGTGGGGGGGATATAGTATGGGGTTATGGGCATTTCTATTTACTTTCGGCAACTGAAGAGGGATGTGTTGGGTGAATTTGAAAATCGTCCAAGATATGTGTGTGACACTGTGTGTGCACGCGCGCGTCTTCCTTACCTGCTGCAGTCAGTAACTTACCACTCACAAAAAAGATTTTATTTCTACCACAATAACTAAGAGTTCTGCTTGAAGATATTGTCAAAATAATACTCTTGCAACTCACATTGTTTATTATCATCCTATACTCTCTTTGTGCATTCAATGACCAAAGGTGTGTCAGTCGCAAAGAAAGTTTGGACAGGAATGTTACTGGTATAGGGAAATGAGGAGAAACCAGGTCTCTAGTTCATTCTCGAATAAAATAGGAAGAAAAATGTATCATTTGGTGGGTACATGCTTTCAAATGTCATGGGTAATAATTGTAATTGTAATCACTTGATTTATAATTGTCCTTACTTTTCATATCACTGTCTTCTCAAATGAATAATTTCCTTATCTTTTCACACTTTTTTCCTTTTCCTTTTCTTTTAATACAACCGAACAACGCATAGGGCGTAAGTGACAACGTGTAAGTGTTCTTTCTTTCTTCTTCTTTGTTGGAAGATGAGGTAAATCTGTTTCTACAGCAGACTAGTGAAGATAGACATTGATGATATGGACTCACTCCTTTCATTTTTGTTTATAATTTTTTTCATTCACTAAAATGATTGGAAAGTCAAAATGGATAAGTGTTACGGAGCTATCACACATTGTTAGAATCAGGGGCCTAAATCTGTGAAGATACTTAGATACATAACTTTCTGTTTTTGTCCAAAAAATGAATTAAGGGTTTATAAGCTCCATGTGATAAACATTAAGGAGTATAAGTGCATCTTTTCCCTATATTAAGCATGCACTTTAGTGTTTTGGAGGATTTGAGCTGTTACTCAATGCTTGCATTTTCAGGATAGTGATAAAGTCCTCCGATTTATTTCTCTGGGAAAATAAACTAATGTTAAAGGTATTGACCTAACCTTATCTATAGGCATGTCCTTTGTCTCCTGTGACTTTAGGTTGACAGATAAATTGCTCATATCTGCAAGGGAACCTGTAACCTTAATGTTATCAGGAAATGCTCCGCGGTATCGACCTGAAAGAACCAATGGACTTTCTGAAGAAAGATCTGGAATTTGAGATGGATATACCTGCCATGGAAATTTCAAAGATGCTTTATAACATAAGTTACATCAATCGCATCCCTCCTACGCATGCATATTTGTGAAATCATTTCCCTTACAATAATTAAGTAAACGTTTCCATCAATACCCTTAAAATATTTCTCTTTAACTGATACCCTGAATCCAGAAAATAATAACAGAAGTTTGAGTATTAGATATCAACACAGACCTCAATCTCCTTGAGATCAAGACTTTCAAAGTCAATGGTAATATTTGCAAGAATGATGGATGATGCTCTGGCAAACAGACTTTCCACTCGAGCCTCAATTGAATCTGAAGAATCATAAAATTGAATGACAAAGATAAACCATATATCATACAAGTTCACTGACTTATTCATAAGAGAATGAACACATGCTATCTTCAGAACAAACAGAAGAGAGATCCATTCCAATGTTCTCAGTGAAGTTAATTGATAACACAATACCAGCAAGGTATCATCTATATTCCCACAGCGTGGCCCAGCCATAAACTATTACACTTTTAGAACAAATCTTTTCTAATATATGATGCAGATTTAAGAAGACTTACCAACATCACGAGCTGCATCATAAAAACCACGACCCAACATTGCAAGCATGCAGAGAAAATAATGGTTACAGAAGCGTCCTGAAAATTTTCAAGCCTGATAGGTCAATTAACATGCTGGGAATACAGAAGCATTTCATTAGTTTCTCACAGAATAAAAAGCACCTCTGTCTGTGTGTACATTACATACCGATGCCAAACGTATACAACCGTGGTGAAACTTGCCATTTTTTTGTAAGATGAGTCTTCATTACATCACAGATGTGTTTTTCATCGTCCACAGCACCATCAGTGATAAGAAAAATAATAGGAATTGATTTGCTTGTGTCAGAAAACATCTTAATGGCCTGCTCAATGAAAAAATAGTGTTAAAAGGTTCATTTTAATGGGTATACAAAAACCTTGGTAGATATAAAAATCTTAAATGGAAGAAAGATGAAGATAGTAAATTTATAAAATTTAGAACACAATCATAAACCAATTGCACATAAGTGATTACACCTCAAGAAGAGGTAACATGTAAAATATTTAAATCACATTCATTAATGACTAAAGGACATACCAAATTCAAATAAGATTGGACCATTTTTCAGTTGGTAAGCTACTAATGAAATATGCTTTATCATCAACATAAACCATCAAAGTGGACAAAAAGCTTGAGACCACAAAAAAACTATCAGAAAGTTATGCATGCCTACCACATATCTAAATATTAAAATGCAGCGGTGAGTCAAATACAATAACAAGATATTGGTGGAATAACATGAAACTGATTGAGGAAGAAAAAACCTGATTTAATGGATTCAAAATGTTTGTTTCTCCACCAGCAACAAAATTTGTATTTATCCAGTGGTTTGCACTTTCAACAGATTCCTTTGTTGCCAACTCAAGACATTGTGAAAATAGATATGTTCCACCATTAAATGCAATGATGTTAAATGAATCCTGAGGGTCAAGCTTTGAAAGTGCTAAGAAGAGAGCGTTTTTTGTATCCTCTAGAGGTTTCCCCTTCATGCTGCCACTAATATCAACAACAAATACCAGTTCCTTTGTGAATGCCTATCAACAACAACAACATTCAAGCCTTAGTCCCAAAAGAGTTTGGGGTTGGCTAACATGAATCCACACATGAAATTGGAATTAAAAAAGATAAAATAAGATAAAAAAAAGATAACATAAAGATAAGATAAAGATAAATAAGTGCAGGAACCACTTCTTCCTATTCTCATCTATCAACCTAAAATAGAGAGAGAGCAAGTATGGACTGTATGGTGCAGCATAATAAGTAATTACAAAACATATGATCTGCTAACCAATACAAATACCAGAATATCAAAACAGGTATCAGTTCAATTGACCTTCTTCAATTAGAATATTCATGCTCAAGAGATATCCTAGGATTCCTGGCAATCTGGCATTCATGTAAGTAAGCATGGAAGGAAAGGAATAACCTTTGTGTTCTGCTTGTTCCCAGGAAAAAGATAGCAGCAGAACATATCTCTCTGGTCAACATCAAGTACTCCTGGGGATTGCAAAATCACATTTCCAAAGGTTTGGCCTGACGACACCTATATACACGAAGGTGCCCAAGGGCGGGAATGAACATTTTATCAGAATGCAACAAAGTTCTCGATAAACTAGAAGAAGAAAATATCAACTAGTAGTTAACATGGAAACATGAGAGTCTCCTACTGGGAAGACATAATATTGTTACCACATAGGAAAAGACAAAATCGTGACTGGACCAATTGAGAACTTCTGCTTCATACAAGAAGGTCAGCTTCCCAGCTTGTCGCCGTAGTTCCTAATAGAACAACAATAAATCTATTGGCTTCAATCATCAATAAAATTGAACCAGGACATTAAAACATTAAAACAAGAAGCACCTTCATAGCATGACTAGCTGTCTTACACAAAACTTCTGATCCAGGAAACGAGTGTACATTCAAATTTATTTTTTCCTTTTTTGAGATTTTCTTTCCAGCAGGAGTCACATACTCTGGGAAACTGAATGGGACGTTCAGGGAGAATTGCCCATCGTGGTAGAGTAACTTCTGAGACCATCTCATGGTGACTAAAATATTCGTCCCTCCATTAATCTGATGATTAAAACTGATGTAATTGTAAAATCACATTCTGTTTAGTCCACTTTTAGAGAACAAATATTGGATGATAGAAGCAGTCCTACCTGTGGAATTTTGACAGTAAAAATGTTTGGCTTCAAGTAGCACCCATTGCTAACCTTTGTGGTCATGCTCATTTCTCTTTGATCCTCCCAGGCAACAATTTCAGTACAATAAATGTCCTTGGGTAATTCAACCTCGACACCTAGAATTGAACCCTGTTAGCCAAATAATTTATCACTTGAGAACAAAATATCAGTTGTGTTTCACAGAAGTGAAACAAGGGAAGCATTATAAAGTACCCACAATCTAGTAATGAAGAACTTTGAACATTGTTAAATGCAAGTAGCCTAGTAGTAATCATATGGTGGTAAGTGGTAACTATCAGGTTTTCGGAAAATGGGGGATGACCAAACTCTCTCTGGCTTTTCCTATTTAAAAAAGCATAAAGCATGAACCCCAAAATAGCTAGCAAGAAAGCAAAGCCTGAAAAAATCTAGATGGGAGCTATTCAGTTGTTGAATTGTTTGAGTTTCCATAACATAGTATCAGCCTATCAGGTAAACAAGGAAACACAGGTAAACTTTCGTTGATGAGACAATGATCAATATTTATATGTTAGTATTTATATTTGAATAATCAGCAAAGAATCAATGGAAGAAGGAATACTCCCACCTCCCAATTAATGCCCAAAGTAATCTTCTTTCAGTTTTCTTAATATTACTCGATGACTTACGATTGTTATTCTCTCCCATTAAATAAATCAATTTAGTCCTCAACCAAAATACAGCTTCTAGACGGAGGTTACTAGTGCAAAGCACCTCAAATTTATTTGAATTTATTAAAAGTTAACCTTTACCCCAATTAAATGCATTCCATAGATGAAAAAACGAAGCAATAATGACAAAGCTAAAGTAACTCCATATTGCTCATATATATACCTGTTCTCCCATCGGAACAGCAATACAACAATCGCAGGTCCGACTCCCCATGACGCAATGCACACGCCACGAGCCAGTGACGGTAACGAAGGCCGTGTCGAGGTAGCACTCGACGCTTAGGGAAACGCCGTTCATCTGGAGGGGAATCAGAGCCGGAGGATCGCACCTGCCGCCGACGTGAGGCTGGTAGCTGGGAATATCAGGGTTGTCGACGATGGCAGGATTCTCAATCATGGCGTAGAGCATGGGAGCCGAAGGGAGATACGAGCCAGCCGCCTTCTCCATGGGGGATATCGGCTTGGGAGGCGCGACGGCCCGGTCCTTGCCGAAGTAAACCCGCTTGGAAAGCCGCAGGCCGTCCTCCACGGCGTTCACGAACTCCTCCGCCATGAGTGGGCACGGAGGAGGGAGAGAGGAGCTGGGAGGAGAAGAGCGGAGAGGGGTAAAATGGGGATGGATGTGTATAGAGGAAGCTTTGGAATGGTCAATGGAGGCGAGAGAGCAGTCGATTTGGACGGTGCCGGACGGCCGAGAGGTGAATAAAAGGGATGAATTCTCGGCGGAATTGACGGACGTTAAGCGGACGTGTATATAGCGTGATCGGAATTCGGAATATATACTTCCTTGCAGACAGATAGTTCGTTACTCGCGAGTAGCGACAGAGATGTAGATTTTTCAAATTTTCCATAATTTTCTTTTGTTGCAAGGTTCTTTTGTTTTTTAGCAAAAAAAATACTCCGTATCGTTATAAAAAAAAATGGACCCGCTCTATTCAAGCTTTCATCTAGGCAGATAGAGAGAGGCGTACATGTACATAAATTGTGGGTTGGGCCAGCTAATAAAGATCCACGTGAAATTGGGTCAGGTTTTAATTTTAGAAAATTCAAATTGGGCGAGATAGTAGGTCTTAAAAAAATTAGGAGTTAAGAGTCAATTGAGAGATTACCGCCGGTGGAGGTAATTACCGCTTTGTGGTAAGTTTACCGCCAGAAGTAAGGGGGATAGGGGAGGATTTGTCTCAGTATTGTGGAGTCTGTGGAAAAGAAGGAACAATGCTTGGTGGAAAGACGAGAAAGACAATATGGCCGCAGTCATCAATGTCACGGCCAGCATGTGGGAAGGCTAGAGGGCGGGTTAGCAGGTGCAGGTCACGGCTCCGGCTACGGCCAGTACTGGGTATGAAAAATGGAGTCGTCTGGGGGATGGGGTTGTTAAGGTCAACGTGGATGGGACTATTAATGAGGAGGGGAAAATTAGAGTATGGGGCTGGATTGCAAGAGATGGAGCAGGGGAATTGGTGAAAGCTAAAGGGGTTTCGGTTGATGGGTCATGGTCGGCTGCTGAGACGGAAGCGTTTGGACTGCGGGATGCGATTATGGGAGCAATCGAAGATGGATAGAATGTGGTTGAGTTTCAGTCTGATACTTTAACCTTGGTTCAAGGAATTCAGAAGGGGGAGCAATCGACATATGTTCACCTAATTATTGATGATATTAGGAAAGTTTTGGAAACAAAGAGTAATATTTCTATCTCTTTTTGTAAACGGTCTGTGAATAGTCCTGCCCATGCTCTATCTAGGGCATAGAATGCGGTTGAGTTAGTTAACAGAATGCTAACAGGTCGACTTCATGAAGGTCGACGTCAACCCTAACCACTTGATCGACTTCCCCTTGGTCGATGTCAGTCTCCCGCAGATCGACTTCTCCTTGGTCGATGCATCGCTACTGCCGACGCCCCCCGCGGGTTGACCACCGAAGGTCGATTTTCCCTTTTTTGTCGACTTTGGGAAGTTCGACGTCATAACCTTGGTCCATTACCCTCTTCTTACTCAACATTCCGTCAACCAACTCGGCTGTATTAACGTGTTAATCTAAAAAGTGTACTCAATTAACACTAAAACCTCAAATTTGTGTACTTAAAAAGATCAAATGCAATATAGTATACTCTTGATTCTACCTCATGCAAGTTGGTGTACTCTATTGACACTTTCCTCAAAAAACTAGGAACCGAACAAGTATTAATAAAATTTGATAAAACGGGTACTCTGACCGACTTGTTTTGTAATATTTCTGTTTGACTTAATCCACATTGAATTTCGTATAATATAATCTCTCCAAAGATCATTTTCATCTCTCTCCATAGTTCATTTTCTCATTTGAAACGAAATATATATTAGAGGGTTCAAATACAAAGAGACATTCTCATGCAATTGTAATTATTATCAATTCATTTACTTAATTACAACATACTATGTATTTCTTTTTCAAAAATACGGAGTATTTATTACTTGCAACATACTCATTTTTCTAAAACATTTTATTACCTTAAACATTTTCCTATTTTGGTAACTTTCTTATCTACAAATACAAAATTATACTCCGTACTTCCTTTTTCTATTTTTATTTTCTCTTTATTACGTTTTCAACTTATATATATATATATATATATATATATATATATATATATATAATATCCTACTTATACTTTTCATACATTATTAAGTAGCCATATTATTTAATTTCACTTTGAGAAAAACTAAATGTTGGTACAAAATAAATAAACTTAGTTCTCATAGATGTTCAAATGCATGTTCTTATTTGATCTCACTCGTTCAATTTTTTATCATCTCCTCAATTATACTGACTTGACATGAGTTTTTAAAAATGAAAAACAGAAAGATTGATATAGCGGATATTGATCACTTTTGATATGTTTAGTCCTATAACTTTTAACTATTATTGTTATTGGTTCCGTAGTTCATACACTTGCAAATTTAGTCAGGTAAATTAAAGACTTTTCCACCGGAAAGTATACTTTTCGGTAGAAAAATCCGACGCCGGCGACATCTTTTCTGGTATACCTATGTCAGGAAATGTACTTTTTAGAGAGAAAACCCTTAAATCGCAAAACATACTGATCCTATTTTGGAATATAATTTGAAACTGTTTACTTTTATTTATGTCAATTTCTTTTTTCTTCTTTCTTAATAAATTTATTTAAAATATTCTTTTCATCATAATTGAGCAAATTCATCTCATGTTATATCAGCAATTTAATTGATTCAGCTGATTGCAACAACGAGTATTTTTCGAGTTTTTAATTTATATGTGGCGCACTGCAGAGTGTTATATGCCTATTTCACTATTTGGGAAATTTTTGTCCAATTTTGGAGACCGTTAACCTGATGTCTAGAGGTGGGTGGCCATGGAAATTTTGTCACTAGCTGCATGACTTTTTGCTTGTGCGGGGAACATTTCTCGTGGAATGTTTACTCTCCTTTGCAACTTGCATGAGACTACTTGGGAACACATTATGCCCGAGTCTAACTTTCACAAGGGTGCTCGAACATAAAATAAGGGTTAATCCACCAAACCCTCTTATGATTTATAAATCTGGCGTATTAAATTGAATAATTAATCATAAGTACTGAATACGCTTATGAAAAACAAGTCCTAAAAGGAGCGTGAGAGACCTCTCTAAACCTTCAATATTCCCTAGGGCTCGGCCGCTAGGGTGTTTTTCCGATTTCGCTACCACGAAGATCGGTCGTATAAGGAGGCGAAGGCACCGAAGGCAGCTGTTGAAGAAGTCTCGACTTCAGGTCGAAGGTGAAGCACGACGAGACTGACCGAGGAGGATTTTGGATGGACAAAATCGTCAATTCATACAAAAAGATGGCAATCGAAGAACAACAGAACGAGCTTAATTTCGATGAGGAAACGGTAGAGGATGGTGACGAGGTGACCGAGAAGCAGACTTAATTACCCGGTGGTTGGAGTGGTTGTCACCGACCGGAAAGTGAAACTGCCAGGGTTTCAGGAATTGATGGCTTCGCGCTGGCGGCCAGGGAGAGGTATGACTATCAAGGAAATTGGAGAAAAAAAGTATCTGGTAAATTTTAATCATGTTTTGGATATGAATCGTGTGCTTGAGGATGGTCCTTGGCTTTTTGAACGTGATTTAATTCTGATGAAAGCAATTCAGCTTGATGATATACCTGAATCTATGAATTTATTTGAGGCTAGTTTTTGGGTACAGGTTCACAACGCCCCTATTAAATTCAGGAATTTAGGGTCTGCGAAGAAAATTGGTAATTTTTTAGGTTCGTTTATTAAATTTGAAATGAGTCATTATGATGGCAACCAGGGTTCTTATCTGCGTATAAAGGTGTGTTTGGATGTTCGTAGGCCTTTAAAGAAAGGTACTACTTTGATAAAGGATGGGGTTCAACACTGGGTGGACTTTAAATATGAAAAGCTGCCTAGTTTCTGCTTTTTGTGTGATATAATTGGACATTCTAATAAGTTCTGCCCATTGAAGTATGAAGAGGGTTTTGTTGTTGAAAAGTCCTATGGGGTAGGTCTTAAAGCAGGTGGGAGGGTGAAGACCAGTCCTACAGGACCCAATAAATGGCTATCTAGTGAGGCATCTAGCTCAGGTGGATATGGAAATCAGAGGAAGTCTGTTCTTGGGGGAGATTTTTTGGCTGAATCAAAGACCAATATCTCACAGCAGAATGAGGCAGACGAAAAGGAGGAAGCCCCTGGAGATACAAAGAGGAGAAGAATCTGGGATGATCTGGGTAAAGGAGACAGCGAAGGTGAAGGCATGGCTCTCGACGAGCCAAAAAATGGGGCGACGGCGGGTCAATATACTTAGGCCCGCCGAGGATCTACTTGCGGTTGCTGATGTTACAGACCAAGGATGGTGTTATTTTAATTTATTGTTTTGTTTGCTGTTTCCTGGGTTTTATTGTTATGTCTTGTTTTTTTTTTGTTATGTGTTTTGCAAGACTCTTGCATTAGGTTGGGATTTTGAAAGCTCTACGGTAATCGTCATTGGCTTTAAGTTGCCCAATCTTGGTCTAGCGAGTTATACTGCTTTTCTACAGGTGGTTAACTCTCAATCTCGACTACGGGTGGATGATTACTTGTTGTTCTTTTATTATCTTGTACCCTTACTGAATGTTATTTCCATTTCTATGAATTATGTCACCTTCGATAAAAAAAATGGCGTATTAAACCCCTATGGTTTAAAAAGTGCGTCAAAGCCCCTTGTATTATAATTATTCATGCGTAAAACCCCCTTCAAAAACAAATTTAATCGAAAATAATTAGTATATTTGTATAATTTAGCAGTCTTGAAAATTTTACTTTTTTTTTTTACTCCAGGGGGGTCTGGGGTCTGGGGAGCCTGGAGTAATAATAAGGGCTGAAACTCACCCCATTGGGTTTCAACCCCCTAAGCTATGTGTCTAGCGGGTTTCGAACTCGAGACATCTCACTAGGCACGGTAACTTCGCAACCAGCTGGACTGGAATGCTTGATTATCTTGACAAATTTACTTGCATATTTATTCATATTATTAAGATATGTGATTTAAAACTTGTTAAATTTATTCTTGAAGGGGGTTCTGCGCATGAAACATAACACATAGGGGTTTGATACATTTTTTAAATCACAAAGAACTAATGTGCCAAATTTATATATCATGAATGGTTTTAGACTTTTAGTGCATTAAACCCAATAAAATAATAAAGTATACCATATCTACATCTACTAAAGTTCATATTGCATGGTTCTTGGCGTGTAAGGATATTGTTATTTGGACTAAAAATTTGTTGGTCTAGTTTGATCTGGTCTGGTCTGAACTGGCCTAGTTTGGTTTGGTAAACGACTGATCTCTATGTATTTTATAACTAAATAATTCATGTTTGGTCTGGTCTGGTCTGGTTTGTGTAAGTCTCGTCTGGTATGATCTAATCTATTTAAGTCTTGTCTGTTCTGGTATGAGACTAAAAACAGTTCAAGTACAAACATTTTAACTCCCAGCACGAGTGAAGCTAGAGCACTGAGCTGGATTAAACCGGTACAAATAATATTTTTGAAAAAAATTATTTTTAAAAAAAATATTTTAAAATTCGAATGGATCAGGGCCTAGCTCCACCTCCGGATATGAGAGACTCAAAAAATGCGAAGGAAAAAAAATGAGCCTTGTTATTTGTTACAAAGAGTTTTTTCCACTTTTAGTCCTTCGACTATTATGTCACTGACACTTTTGGTACTCGACTTTGATTTTTTCCACTTTTAGTCCTCACCTATTATACTAGAGACACTTTTGGTACCTATCTTTGAAAATTTCCATTTATAGTCTTTCGACTTACATAAAAGTGACACTTTTGGTCCTCCAACTATTATAACAGTGACATTTTTAGTCCGTCACTTATTATGTCAAAATCATAGTGGAAGGACTAAAAGTGTCAATCTGATAATATCAAAGGACTAAATGTGAAACACTTTGAAGTCAAGGACTAAAAGTGTCTCTAACACAATAGTTGAGGACTAAAAATGGAAAAATTAAAAGTCGAGTACCAAAAGTGTCACTGAAACAATAGTCGAGTGACCGAAAATGGAAAAAACTGCTCAAAATCGATAAATAGAGATGCTGAGCACACTGCTCAACTAATTCAACTATACAAAATGAGTTTCATGATGTGAAATGAAGAAGATGAAGACTAAATAAAGAGATAGATATATTGATAAAAAGCTCTAAATAACTTCTTAATAATCTCTGAAATTTTCTGAGTTTCTGAATTGCTTGAATTAATTTACAAGACCTCATCAAGCCACTATTTATACTGGTTGAGCTTAATGATGAGTCACTTATTTGATGAGTCTACAGATTTGGTGGCAATAGCATATTAAACCACATGTTCTAACTAGGTTACAAGGATCATTACAAGGATCAGGAAAAGTTTGGTGTCCTAATGAGTATGCTGCTTACAAGGATGAATAATTCACACACATGTTATTCCCAGGATTTTACAACACTCCCCCTTGAATGTTCATCCTTCAATAGTTATTTTGTTATTATGAAAAATTAGTGTGAAAGTTAAGGGGTAAAGATTACGACATATAATGTCATTGTATTTGGATGTACTGTCTCGTTAAAAACCTTATCAGGAAAAACCCAGTGAGATAAAAACCTGATGAAGGGAAAAAGAGTGCAGTGCATTCAAATACCCCCCCCCCTGAAATTAACATAAATTTTGAAGGCGGTGCATGCCGATTTTCTGTACAAGTTCTGTGAACTTCTTCGGGGGTAAAGATTTGGTGAAGAGATCGGCTGGATTTTCACTTGATCTGATTTGTTGAATGTTGATCGTCCCATCTTTCTCCAGATCATGAGTAGAGAAGAATTTTGGTGATATGTGTTTTGTTCTGTCTCCTTTGATATAGCCCTCTTTAATTTGAGCTATGCATGCGGTGTTGTCTTCATAGATCACAGTCGGGTGACAAGTAATAGGCTTTATACCGCATTCATTTTGGATGTGTTGAATCATAGATCGCAGCCACACGCATTCCCTCCCAGTTTCATAAAGTGCAATTAACTCCAAATGATTTGATGATGTAGCTGTCAACGTCTGTTTCATAGATCTCCACGAGATTGCGGTATTACCATAAGTAAATACGTACCCGGTTTGTGATTTTGCCTTTTGAGGATCTGATAGGTATCCAGCGTCTGCATATCCGATTAAAGAAGCTTTTGCATCTTTGTGGTAGAATAGGCCGAGATCAACTGTACCACGGAGATAACGGAATATGTGCTTGATCCCGTTCCAATGACGTCTTGTTGGACATGAGCTGTACCTAGCTAATAAATTTACAGAAAATGCAATATCTGGTCTAGTATTATTAGCTAAATACATTAAAGCTCCGATAGCACTGAGATATGGTACTTCGGGACCGAGTATTTCTTCGTCGTCTTCTCGGGGACGGAATGGATCATCGTGTATGTTGAGAGATCGAATGACCATTGGTGAAGTCAAAGGATGAGCTTTGTCCATATAGAATCTCTTCAACACTTTCTCGGTGTAATTGGATTGGTGGATGAAAATTCCATTCTTCAAATGCTCAATTTGAAGTCCGAGACAAAATTTGGTTCTCCCGAGATCTTTCATTTCAAATTCTTTCATAAGATATTTTGCAGTATTTTCAATTTCATCGGGAGTTCCAATAATGTTTAAGTCATCAACATATACTGCAATTATGGCGAATCCAGAATTTGATCGCCGAATGAAAACACATGGACTAATTGGGTCATTTTTTATATCCTTCTTTGAGAAGGTATTCACTGAGACGATTATACCACATTCGTCCAGATTGTTTTAGTCCATACAATGACTTTTGTAATTTAATGGAAAATATGTCTCGAGGTTTCGAGTTATAAGCTTCAGGCATTTTAAATCCACCGGGAATTTTCATGTAAATGTCTGTATCAAGTGAACCATATAGATAGGCGGTCACTACATCCATTAGGCGCATTTGCAGCCTTTCAAAAACAGACATGCCAATGAGAAATCTTAATGTAGTTGCATCAACTACTGGAGAATAGGTTTCTTCATAATCGATTCCCGACATTTGAGAAAAACCTTGGGCAACAAGTCGGGCTTTATATCTAACAATTTCATTTTTCTCATTGCGTTTACGCACAAATACCCATTTAAAACCCACAGGTTTTACACCTTTTGGCGTAGGGACTATCGGTCCAAAAACATCACGTTTTTCAAGTGATTTTAATTCAGCCTGAATAGCTTCATTCCATTTTGGCCAATCTTGTCGTTTCCGACATTCTTCAATTGATGTTGGCTCATTGTCATTGTTTTCATTCATAACATTTGTGGCAGCAACATAGACAAATATCTCATTAATATCAATATCTTTTTTATTCCATTGCATTCCAGTAGAAACGTAATTTATTGAAATTTCATAATTATCAACGTTTCTATCAGCATCTGGAATATCTTCCTCATTTAAGGAAGTTGAATCATTATTTGAGATGTTTGTTTTGTCAATATCATTTTCTATGCCAGTATTTTCAAATTGTTCATTTTCTTGTTCAGAAGGATGAACATCTTTGGCATCACAGATCAATTCCTTCCTTTTAGTCTTTCTTGGTTTTATGTCTTTTGATCCAAGTGGCCTGCCACGCTTTTTGCGTATAGAAGAATCATTTGCGAGAGATTTTTCAAAATTCTCCGCTGGAATTTCAATTCTGGCAGGGGCATTCATAGCAGGAATATGTGACTTTGTCACTTTCTTTGTATCTGTGAATGCATCAGGCAACTGATTTGCAATATTTTGTAAATGGATTATCTTTTGCACCTTTTGTTGACATGTATTTGATCTAGAATCAAGGTGTGATAATCTGTTGCATTCCATGTTATTTCTTTCGTACTTGGGTCCGTTTTATTAGTTTCTCCCCCTAAGGTTGGGAATACTGTCTCATTGAAATGACAGTCAGCGAACCGTGCAGTGAATAAGTCACCAGTCATCGGTTCAAGATATTTGATTATTGAGGGAGATTCAAATCCAACATAAATTCCCAACCTTCTTTGAGGACCCATTTTTGTACGATGAGGTGGAGCAATCGGAACATAAACAGCACAACCAAATATTTTTATGTGTGTTAAGTTTGGCTCTTGTCCAGTAACTAATTGCATTGGAAAATATTCATGATATGCAGTCGGTCTAAGCCGAATTAAATTTGCTGCATGTAAAATAGCATGTCCCCAAGCTGATGAAGGTAAATTACACTTCATTAATAATGGTCTAGCGATTAATTGTAATCGTTTAATCAAAGATTCAGCAAGACCATTTTGTGTATGGACATGAGCAACAGGGTGCTCCACATCAATCCCAATCGACATACAATAGTCGTTAAATGATTGGGAAGTAAATTCTCCTGCATTATCAAGTCGGATTCTCTTTATAGAATGATCCGGAAAATGAGCTCTTAATCGTATAATTTGAGCAAGGAGTTTAGCGAATGCTAAATTTCTAGTCGATAAAAGATTAACATGTGACCAACGTATTGAAGCATCAATCAACACCATAAAATATCGAAATGGTCCACATGGCAGGGCTATCGGCCCACAAATATCTCCTTGAATCCTTTCTAAAAATGCAGGTGATTCAGTTGCAATTTTGTTCATAGAAGGCCTGATGATCATTTTGCCAAGAGAACAGGCCTTACAAGGAAAATCACTTGATAATGGAACCCTGATATTCTTTAATGGGTGTCCAAGTGAAGTCTTAATGATTTTATGCATCATTACATGGCCTGGGTGACCTAAACGGTCATGCCACAACATGAATGTTTTCTGATCATCTAACTTTGCGTTAGAAACAAAATTTATTTCGAATGGACTAATATGAGTGAAATATAGTCCTGAGGAATATGCTGGCATTTTTTCACAAATACATTTAGTGCCAGATTTAGTTGTCGTTAGACAAAGATATTCCTTTTGGTTTTCATTCATGGTTTCTATGTGATAACCATTTTGATGCATATCATTAAAGTTTAATAAATTTCTCCGCGATTTGCTGGAGTATAAAGCGTCATTTATAAGTAATTTTGTCCCATTAGGGAGTATCACATATGCTTTCCTAGAGCCTTCAATGAGCTTCGCAACACCTGATATTGTAATGACTTTAGCTTCAACTAAAGTCATTTGAGAAAAATAGATTTTATTCCTCAAAATGGTGTGCGTTGTGGCGCTGTCTATCAGACATAGCTCTTTATCACTTGAGTGATCCATATCTTCAATATATAAAAATAAGCATAAGTTTGATATGCAAGTAACACAAATTATGCATCATATATAACATTAAAATACATATATTACATAATTTATTTATGATAACAACATAAAGGATACGAAAGAAAAATACATAATTTACAACATGAAAGTCCTATAATTTATTTTGTGTCATTTAGATTAGTGGCAAAAGCATCGTCCATAATGGCATCATCCACGAAGAAATCGGACACGTCAAATTTTGGCAGAGGTGGAGTTGTGTCATTAACATAATTAGCTTCCACACTTTTGCCTTTGTTCAGATTCATGGAAGCTTGAAATAACTCCACCAGATGTTTAGCCGTGCGACATTTATTAGCCCAATGCCCCGTCATGCCACATTTATAACAAGTCGACTTTCCCGAGGATTTTGGAGGGCGATTTATTTGATGGGCTTTTTGTTTGCCCTTGCCCTTGTAATTTGGTCTTTCGACCTGTTTGTATTCTCGGTGTGACTTGTTTTTATGAACATTAAAATGCCCACGTTTAAAATGCCTTCTACTGCCACTGTGTGTTGCATTTGTTTCAGTGGCTAAATTATGGCCAGATGGACCATAAACTGAAGGACTAGAACCAGTGGGTCTCAGATTATGATTTTTCATCAAAAGGTCATTATTTTGCTCAGCTACCAATAATATTGATATTAAGTCGAAGTATTTTTTAAAACCCTTTTCTCTATATTGTTGTTGTAGTAGCATATTAGAAATATGCATTGTAGAAAAGGTTTTCTCCAACATATCAGCATCAGTGACCTTTTGTCCGCATAACTTTAGTTTAGATGTTATTTGGAACATAACAGAATTATAGTCACTGATTGATTTAAAACCCTGGAATCTTAAATTGATCCAGTCATACTGAGCCTTTGGCAAAAGTACCTTTTGTTGGTGGCCATACCTCTCTTGTAAATTGTCCCATAATTCTTTTGGATCATCAACCAAAAGATATTCAGATTTGAGACTTTCATGGAGGTGGTGACGGAGGAAAATGATAGCTTTCGCTTTATCTTGGGAAGATGATAGATTATTGGTTTCAATTATTTCTTCTAAGCCATTAGCCTTAAGATGTGCCAGAGCATCAACTTTCCATTCAAGGTATTTTTGCCCGGACAGATCAAAAACGTCAAATTCTCTTTTGCTTATGTTTGCCATGATATACTACAAAATTATTAATTTAAATTCATCATTAAGCATATCACAAACTAAGCCTTAAAATATTATCTAATTAAGTATAGATATACTAGTATATAAAGCATTCGTAGTATATAAAGTACCAACTTGAAGTATTGTTAATTTGTTTGTACTACTAGTTTCATAAATATACGAAAACTAATAATTTAAATCATGGATTATTTAAAATGATGTACTACGTATGAATTTGTCTAACTGAGTAAGAGACAAAACTAGTCAACTATATATCTTATTTAATCGGTGACTTACACATGTCAAGTTATCATCAGTAGTATTTATTAATTATTACTCGTATAAAATAAAGGCCTGCAAACTCTACAACTATTCGGAAAACAAACAAATCACGTGAATATGAAAAGATGGGCTAGCCTACATGAGTGCCAATCGTTATTACTCGGTATTAGTTTGAATATATTTGTTGTTTTGCATGTAACTACATAATAAAATGACAAATAAAGCTGTAATATGCATATAAGAGTTGTTTTACCCATGCATCAAAGTGTGGCTTTGAGTCTGATGCATATCTATTGTTCTACTAGCTTCATATCCGTATAAAAGAACGAACATCAAAGCTATTGCCCTAGCTAATCTAGGGCGGAGTAATCTTTACCATCTCGTTTTTCTTACAAAGTATTTCATACTCTACGGTTCTCATGAGTACTCTTATTTTATTTCTTACATTATCTCCTCTTATTATTCTTTACTTCTTTTATTACTCACGTAATGTTCTCTCTATATTCTTTACGTTAAAAATATTACATACGTAAAGTGATTTATTTTTCCACAAGCTCTTTTCTTCTATCTGTGTTTCGAAAAACAAAGAAAATTAATTAATAAAAATTAATTAAATAAAATGACGTAAAGAAAACAAGAAATGAGATGAAGCAGAATAAGCCAAAGCTCGTGCAACGCACGATTCCCTTAAAACGTATTCGTTGCCTCCCGGGGTGCTAGGAGCGTTGCAAGAATCGTTTCTCAGGATACGATGACTACGAACAAGCGTTTGAGCACTCAAACGAAAGTTCCAACGAACGTGAACAAAGCAAGAACACAATAGGAATTTTAAGAGAAGGCTGGGAGAGTTTTGTGAGCTAAAATGAAGTGCAGCACGTTTGTGACTTGTTTATTTTGTGTTAATTAACGTTGGCAGTTAATGGAGCAAAAAAAACATTACCAAAGAACAAAATTAAAGTTAACGTTATCTTTAGATGATAGATTTTCGGACGGCATTCGTGTGTGCAGGTCGCCCGCACAAGCAAGTCGCGCTTTTTGTTCTTCGGTTTCGGGATTTGATTCGCACCTCCCCCCCCCCCCCCCCGCGCGCGTGAGAGAGCCTTTCCCTTTAGGAAGCTTAACTCCTTAGGGGGGGTTTCCCTTTATAAAGGGTTCAAATTTCCTTGTGATTTTCGGTGTGGGAAAAACTCTTACCAAAACATCACATTTTCCTAGTTTTCTCCATTCTAACGGGTAAACTTCGAAAAGCGATTTCTCATTCACCCGTTATCCGTTTTGAGCGTACCATACATCGAATTGTAGCCCTAAGCAAGGACAATCCGAAACCACTTTGACCCGACCCAAATCGGAAGTGGACCCCGCTTAAAAAATTGCCCCAAAATGACCATTTAATGCAATTTAACACACTTTTTCCAACACTATCAAGTTAGTACATGCAAAACAAAGAAAATACTTATTCAAAAGGTATGCATGTTATCTATATTTTCTTTTCATACGTATATGATAGACGTTTTTATTTAAAAACTCAAAATAATTTTCTGGTTTGAATACAGAATACTAAAAGAAGATAATAAATATTGATGTTAATACCTGCAGGAGATGATTAGATGATGATTTCTTGAAGATTTTGAGCTGACCCGTGCTGATAACGTGTTGTGAAATGAAGAAGATGAAGACTAAATAAAGAGATAGATATATTGATAAAAAGCTCTAAATAACTTCTTCTTAATAATCTCTGAAATTTTATGAGTTACTGAATTGCTTGAATTAATTTACAAGACCTCATCAAGCCACTATTTATACTGGTTGAGCTTGATGATGAGTCACTTATTTGATGAGTCTACAGATTTGGTGGCAATAGCATATTAAACCACCTGTTCTAACTAGGTTACAAGGATCATTACAAGGATCGGGAAAAGCTTGGTGTCCTAATGAGTATGCTGCTTATAATTCACACACATGTTATTCCCAGGATTTTACAACAGTTCAATACTTCAATTTCCTCTCATTTTTGGTCCGGCACGGTTATTTGATGTGTCAGCAGACTCTTTTTCTAATAACTTTCTAGTTTCTACACTAGCAACTCTTTTTCTAATAATTTTTTTGCCTAACTCACCAAAATTAAATGATAGGCTACATACGTATATTGGAGAAGATTTAAGAGTCCATCTGGTAACACTGGAATCGGCTGAATCGGTTGTTTGTGACTTTGTGTTGATATTTATGAAGTTCTGGCTAAAATGGCTGCATTGGCTGATTCTACTGATTTATAAAAAAATTATATATATATAATATATTGTATGAATAAAATAAATAAAAATATATATTATAAAACAGCTAAAATGATCCTCTACAGCAACTTCAGCCAATAAAGCCAAAAAGTAACTTCAACCTTACTTTTCTTATTATTACACAATTCAGCGTGCGAAATAAAAAATTACGTGTGATGAAAAAGTTGGTTGATAAGCCTGATAAGTCGAAAAACAGGCTCACCAAACGGGCTCTAAAATACGCATTTCCAATTTTGTGAGGTGACATATTTTATCCTACACTAAACTACTCCATTGCGGATGATCATATAATCTTATAAGCTAAACGTAGCAGGAATGAACCCTGGTATTAATAGCTAGGGATGTTTAGATCTAATTCTTAAAACTGTTTCTGCTCACTATGGGAGCAGAAGTAGAAGTAGGAATGCTTGAATGAAAGTGCAAAAGTGATTTTGGTGTTCTAATTTATTTTTTATTTTTTTTAAACAATTGATGTTCTAATTTATTTTTAGAATCAGTTTTTTAGAAGCTGGAGAAGAAGAATTATGATTCTGATTTGCTCGTTCCAAACACCCCTTAATTCATAACTAAGACGTTCTGTTCGTTCAAAAAAAACTAAGACTACATATGCAATCATAAATAAATGAATAAACGAATGATTAGAAATAATACTCCCATACTATATTTGATGTGTCAATAATGAAACATATGTTAATCTTTTGACATACTAGAGCTCAAAACTCATTTAAAAACACAATTACTCATCACTCTTTTCGAAGATATATATTGTCTGAAATTAATTATATTTGAATGTATGTGTTGGGTTAACGATATCCAACCAATTCTGAGTGATTTTCTACGGTTTATTGTTGTTTTACGATTTAGAATGTTTCATTAAAATGGATTTACTAGGGTAGGAACTTAGGAAGAATCTACTATTTCAACTGGGGAGTATAGAGAATAGTTTCAATTATTAGTGATTTGTTTGAAATAATTCAAAATATTGAGAAATAATTTAAATACTTCAAACTTTGAAGGGGTGTAATGAGGTAAGTACCCCAAACTTGTATATGTAGTATACATATACTCCGAACTTCATATAAAAAAAATCATAACACCATGAATTATACTAAATGTGTAACATTTGTGAAAGAAAAAACATATTATCATTATGTTAAAATAGTTTTTGTATAAAGTTCGAGATATTTATATTACATACGCAAGTTTGAGATGTTTACCTCACACCCTTTCAAAGTTTGGGTATTTGAATTGTTTTTCTCTTCGAAATATCAATTATCTCAAAATAATCTCAACTATTGAAAAAAATTCTCAAGATGCTCCACTGACTCGTGAATATTATAAGTCATTTATATGTTATTATAATTCACTAGAGTTTTTTGAGATTTTTTCAACAATTGGGATTATTTTGAGAAAATTAATACTTTGGATCATTTCAAGCATATTACTGAAAACTGGGATTATTTTTGTTCATTTTTCTTTTTAATTGCAACTTCAACCATTCTTAGTTGTATTTTGTTTGACATAGAATTTAACAATTTATTATCTACAAATTTAAAAATTTAACAATTGAAATTTTTATAATAAGAAAATGGAAAGTATGAATAGCATATTTCTACTTAATTATAAGGGCAAAAATGTATGTGGGTACAATAAAAGAGGAATATAAGAAGAAGATAAAAAGGAAAAGATTGAAGTAGCAGTTAAGAAGTGTGATTTGTGAAGCATAGACTCTTTGCATTAATAAAAGAGTAAAGGGTCAGTTTGGTCCTCGAAGTTACAAAAAAGGGGTCAAATAAGTCCTTATATAGAAAATTATGTCCGGACGTGACATTTGAGGTGGCTCCCGGTAGAATTTTTTGATTAAATTTTTTGAGCATCTTATTCATTGAGTCTAGTTTACCCATACCAAATTTCAGCTAAAAAATCAATCGAGAGACATTCAAATGAATTCTTGAAGATAACTGCGCTTTTAACGGCACAGTTATCTTCAAGAATTCATTTGAATGTCTTCCCGGTTGAATTTTTATCTGAAATTTGGTATGAGTAACTAGACTTAATGAATAAGATGCTCAAAAAATTTAATCAAAAAATTCCACCGGGAGCCACCTCAAATGTCACGTCCGGACATAATTTTCTATATAAGGACTTATTTGACCCCTTTTTTGCAACTTCGAGGACCAAACTGACCCTCATCCCATTAATAAAATAGGAGTGATGAATAATAAATGCACTTTTCAAATAAACATGTGGGTGAAATAAAAATTGGGTAAATTATCACCACATGTGATTTTGATCCTCAAATTAATGATTCTAGCATCTTAATCTTTTATCTTTATAACTATATTTTATGAGTTATTTAATACTCGGGTATTATGTTTTACTCGATGCATTATAAAATTGATATTACGCATACAAGTATGACACAACAAATAATTCTAAGTTGTATTTATAAAACATCTAAACTATTGTAATAATAAAGTAATACTCCCTCCGTCTCATTGGACTTTGCCATCCTTTTTTTGTTGTCCCAAAAAACTTTGTCATTTTCCTATTAAAGCAACTAATTTGTGGTTCTGCACATTTCTCTCCCCTCTGCACAAATCCCAACCACACAATTTTTACTATTCTTATTTCTCACCTACTTTGCACCTGGCAAAGTCCACCGGGACGGAGGTAGTACTATGCAAGTAAACTGACTACATGACAGCGAATCATGTATCATATGAAACTTAGCAATCAAATGGACAAAATATGTTTAGAGACTCAAATGATAGGAGTTAAGATTATATTTGACTAGACTTAAACATACCGACTAAATAATAATAATAATATTTATAAATAACGAACCTAACTGAAGAGACCATATTAGACATAGCGGATAAATAAAATTAGAAAATTTCAATAGTGAAAACATCCCCTAATATTTGAAAACAAGAAATTGAAAATCAAAACAATACCGGAGTAAATGTTTAAAGAAATGCATTTCACCTTGGAGATAAACATGATTTAACTAAACTCGTCCATGTACAAAAATATCATATGAGGTTAAGTGACAGTCTACAAAGAGGCTAAAGCATGATTTCTGAGACCCGAAAAAAACTTAACCCATCGCAAAAAATAAAGAAACAAGAAATTAGTAACAGATTTTTATACACGCTATACATCCCAGCCATCTTTCCGGCTGGCGACTAAACACACCAAAGTAGCTGCGGTTAAGAATGTCAGGGACTCAGGGCAAGAACCAAAGCTCCTGGACATGTGCTTGGTTTTATTTTGGCACGTAGAAATGTGCCCATGCGGTTCAATTAAAAACTAAAATTTCATGGAGAATGGATTCTTGGATTCTTCTTCACGGGCTGAAAAAAAACCACTCTTCTTTCCCATGTTGTGTGAATGCCGAGTCAAAGGGACAACACACTTCACGACCCCAAGTAAAACACCCAAGAATATGAGCATTACTGCAACACCAACATCAGAAGCAAAGCCGAGAGCAAACCGGTGGGTCGCATCACCTGAATGCACATGACCCCCATCCAAAAAGGCGATCCACTCTCTCAAGTTCAGCCGTTTCACGTCAAAGTGATGGCTGTGGGCTCTATTCCATGCATTTATCCCCTTCATAGATTCTTGAATGCCAAATGGAACCTCAACTTCTTTGAACTCATGTGTTGTGAGATTTTTCTATTTTGAATATGCGGATTGCCCTCCCGTATGTGTCACCACAGTCTTGACCAACACGGTATATGTTCCCATCATACATGAACGGTCTTCCCCCACTCATCCAGCTTGTACTACTTGTAAATGGGGTTCTTTGTGTAATTGTGTGGGGCCTCCAAGGGCCAAGAGGAGAGGCACTATACCAGATTTCTAGTTGTCCGTTATTTTGGGCCCCAATGCCACTATTATCTGAACCAAACAGCCAGTATTTCCCGTCATGTGAGATTATAGAAGGATCTATGATGGGCTTTTTCATTGGTACCTTCTCCTGCACCCACTTTGTGGGAAAATCTACAGCTTGGTACAGATTAAGTTCTCCCTTATCACTACCCTCAGGAAACATATATATCTGCCAACAGAATAAGTGAAAGAGGTTAGCAGTAGGAATGTGTGGCATTATTTGAAGGCAGACATGGTAAAGAAAATAAAATACAGTGGAGCATACATTAAGGGTATGTTTGGATGACAGAGAGTGCTAAGGAAAGGAGCAAAAGGAATGATAAGAGAAGTTGTGTTCTTATGCTTGGTTTCACATTGAAAACATGAAGGAAAATGAATTATTATTAAAAAAAATCATATATTTAGATTTCTGGGGTTTTTCATATACTACTCTTAAAATTGAACTGGAAGTACATGGTCATTACCAAGTATTGAAGACAGGAAGATTAAATCCTCATCACAATGCCGTAGAGTATCCACTGGCACTATCTAATACGGAGTATGTGCTATAGTGCTATGCTTCCCTTCACCCACCCCCCAATTAAAAAAATAAAAGAACTAATCATTCTTAATCGTCTCAAGTTAATGAAGGAACAAGTCTATGAAATTGAGATCTTACATTCCCATTCGGGATAAGGGTCAGTTTGGTCCTCGAAGTTGCAAAAAAGGGGTCAAATAAGTCCTTATATAGAAAATTCTGTCCGGACGTGCCATTTGAGGTGGCTCCCGGTGGAATTTTTTGATGAATTTTTTTGAACATCTTATTCATTAAGTCTAGTTTACTCATACCAAATTTCAAATAAAAATTCAACCGGGAAGACATTCAAATGAATTCTTGAAGATAACTGTGTCGTTAAAAGCGCAGTTATCTTCAAGAATTCATTTGAATGTCTCCCCGATTGAATTGTTAGCTGAAATTTGGTATGAGTAAACTAGACTTAATGAATAAGATGCTCAAAAAATTTCATCAAAAAATTCTATCGGGAGCCACCTCAAATGGCACGTCCGGACAGAATCTTCTATATAAGGACTTATTTGACCCCTTTTTTGCAACTTCGAGGACCAAACTGACCCTTTACTCCATTCCCATTGTATTCAAAGACAATGCAATGCCCAACTGTTCCCATGTCACTCCTTTATCAACACTTTTAGCAACTCCAATATCCCCTTGCATTGTGATGGGTTCTTCGTTTCAAAAAACAGGTAAAGAGCATCTTCCTGAAATCAAATGGGAAAAAGAATTTAAATTTCAAAGTCGAAATAATGGACAAAGGACATGGAATGCAAAATAACTTGTGTTACACGTCAAATGTTTTCTATACATACGGGTTATGGCTAATGTATGAATACGGGATAAACCTCATCTCTTGAGGATCCTTTTGAGTGAGCTAGGCCAAACATAACTTGGTATCAAAATCTGATCTAAATGAAGTCTGTTTGGTTTTTTGGCACACATTGCTTGGAATAGCCTGTGTGGGGTCAATTTAGTCCACCTTTGCACCTCTCAAGTTGAGCCCGTTTCAACTTTATTTTTACTGCAACATTAGGTTGTTAGGGTTCTTTTACACCCATATAAAGTGTAAAGTAGGTTTCAAGCACCCAAACACTTTCTAGCAACTTTCAGTCTTGCTCTAAGCCACTAGAAGTACAAATCCATATTTATCAAACCCTCATAAATAAAATTATCAAGCAAGAGCCAGTTGCAATATCTTTCATCAACTTGGTATGATAAAGATTTAAGACAGATACCCTGTTATCTACGGAGTACCAAAAAGTAGATAATAAATATATTTTCCATGGTGTGGTCATCAAGCAGCTAGATTTTAGTATTCTACTTGAGAAGCCCCAAAACGTCTTATGTAATGAACACTAATAAAAAGGGAAAACTGTCAAATAGGTCCTCGAACTTTCATAAAAAGATCAATTAAGTCCTTATATAGGAGGTTCTGTCCGGTCGTCGCGATTTGGGGCGGTTCCCAGTGGAATTTTTTGATGAAATTTTTTGAGCATCTTATTCATCAAGTCTAGTTTACTCATACCAAATTTCAGCTAAAACTTCGATCGGGAATGCATTCAAATTAATTCTTCAAGAATTGCACAGTTATCTTCAAGAATTAATTTGAATGCGTTCCCGATTGACGTTTTAGCTGAAATTTGGTATGAGTAAACTAGACTTGATGAATAAGATGCTCAAAAATTTTCATCAAAAAATTCCACCGGGAACCGCCTCAAATCGCGACGGCCGGACAGAACCTACTATATAAGGACTTAATTGACCTTTTTATGAAAGTTCGAGGACCTATTTGACAGTTATCCCCTAATAAAAACAAAATCAAAGCCAAATTTCAAGCATATCAGTCTAGGCCCTAGGGCCCATTTTATGGTTGAAATGGTGGAGTTTGCTCAATTTTCAGAAAATGGAAAACTAGCCTAGCCCTAACCTACCTACTTAAGTCTAATGGTGCCCAAAGCAGGGCTGGGGGCCGGTCCCAAATGGTTAGCCAGTCCAACCCAGCGGGGATTAGAAGCTTAGTCAGTCTCAAAGGGTGAGTTTATCAGAAACTGTACACTTATATATATAGACACAGCCAGGGGTGAAAAAGTTATTTAATTAGTCCTAATGATAGATGGATTACTTACTTTCTCAATTTCTCTTCTCTGTCATCAGCAACAGCTCTATCCCTCCCTTGACCACCACCAAGTCGGCCTGCATGACAAGAAGAAACACTGCAATCGGCTGTTCATATGATCAATGAACTCCTCTTTGACCCAAGAAGCATACATAATAATGTGACTGAGATTAACTTGGTAGTTGAAGACAAGATAGATAGATGCTCTCTCTGGGGCTGCATTTCAGGCCTGGCTAAAAGGATAATATACTTCAAAAGGAAAGGCTCTCAGAATGATTCACTGGCAGCATCATTTTTCTTAAGGGATAATAATTAATAAATAGGTTCGGCATTTCCTATCCCACCAGACTAATATCATTCATATTTTTTCTTACAACTCATTAAACTTCTAAATATGATTTGAGCATTGACATTAAAAAGTTTGAACATCTGGTACACGAAAGCCAAACACCAGTCAGTTGCAGAACTGCTCATAGTACTAATTTTAAAAAAAAAATTAAAAATGATGTTCATCAGATAGAACAAAAACCAGGTAGGATGGGAATACGAATACCTGATCTTACAGGGAAAGATGAGTCTTGAAGTTCATTTACTTTCTGAACTTTAATGTCATCCAGTGTTACTTGAGTAACTATTTCTCATAAGAAGCATGCAACTTCAAAGTCAATTATGTCAAAAGATAACAGCAGCTGTCTAAAGTTATTGGTGGGAAGTAACCTTTGCAAATTCAGAGACCAGCTTTTCAGGAATATAGCAAGGGCCTCCAACACATTGTGTCACTACATAAATTTGACATCAAAAGAGTCATCTTGATGAGTCTGGCTAATTATCGGTTCACCAATAATCACCACACGAGCAAACTCCATTTTGAAAATGATGATAGCGTCTAGTATCCCTGACAACAATGAGACGTTTGGTGATCTTGGATATGAGTTTAACAGCAATGTGGCAATCACCACACACACGTAGGTTCTTTGTAATCCTGATTGTGGTCCCCGAATCAGTGTTCATCATTGCAAAGGCAATTGCAAGTTTCTCACTATGAACAACCAAATGATTTTCTTTGTCTTCCTCCTCAACATCATGCAGAGCACCATCAGTTACTGGGACATACCCCGCTTCCTTTATCTTCCCAATCAATGCATCTAACTCTTCATAAATCTTCCCCGATTGAGGATGCCACCTGTCACCAGCAAGAAATGTGTGCACTTGGTTATTGAGCTCGACATAGCTAAGACCAGGAATTTTCTTGATACCCCTTTCATTCATGATTGTCCGAGTTTTAGTCACATCTTGCCATCTTCCAGCCCTTGCGTAGATATTTGATAACAAGACATAATAACCAGACTGCCTAGGTGCCAGCTGGAAAAGATTATCTGCAGCTATAACCCCTATATCCATGTCATTATATATACGACAAGCATTCAAAAGGGAACCCCATACCCTCTCACTAACATCCATCGGCATCTTCTTGATAAAAGAGTACGCCTTATCTATTTGCCCAGCTCTTGCCCTCAGATCCACCATGCAAGCATAATGTTCTAACCTTGGAACAATCATATACTCCTCTGTCATTAGATTGTAGTAATATTCTCCTGATTCTAAGAGACCTGCATGACTGCATGCTGAAAGGATAGAGACAAAAGCAATGGAATCTGGTTTGGGGCCACATTCAAGCATTCTCGAAAACAAATAAACCGCATCTTGACCATGTCCACTCATACCGTAAGCATTGATCAAGGAAGTCCATGACACAACATCTCGAAACTCCATGACATCAAAAACATCCCTTGCTTCACGCAAACACCCACACCTAGCATACATATCAATCAGAGCATTTTCAAGAGATAAATTAGGGTGAAGTCCATTCATCTTGACCTTCTCATGGATTCTCTTTCCTAACAATACAGCAGAAAGGTCGCCGCAAGAAGGAAGAACTGTAGCAAAAGATATTGCATCAGGCTCTACGGGAGAAGCCTCCATTTGTAAGTATGTTTCGACGGCCTCTTTAGGCATAGAGTTCTTGACATATACAGCCATCATCACATTCCAGGAGACCAAATCTGTTTTGTCCATATCCAGAAACATGTTCCTCACAAATGCAACATTTTCCATACATGTATTGGTTACAGCTGGAAAAAGGCTAGCCATTGTCCCAGCATCAGTTTTCAGACCCAAGAAGTTCATTTCCTTGCAAACCTCTAATGCATCATCAAAGCTTCCATTTTGAGCATATCCTACGACCATTGAGTTCCAAGAAACAACATCCCTTTTAGGCATTTCATCAAGAACCTGCCTAGCCTCAGCCAAAAACCCACACTTCCCATACATGGCCACCAAACCGTTCCCTGTATATAAATACGAATCAAGGCCATTCTTTACAATTGGGCAGTGAAGTTGCACCCCTAACCACACATTCTCAGAAACTGAACAGGCTTTCAGAATGCACGGAAGGGTATAACGGTCAGGCTGAATACCATCCATATGCATGCTTTTGAACAGAAAAATAGCATCTTGATAAAATCGGTTGTTGACATAGCTTCTGATCATGACATTGTAAACCACGACATTTTTAATGGAGATTTTGTCAAACAGCTGCCGTGCAGTAGTAGTCTGGCCACAAGCAGCATATGCTCGCATCAATTTGATGTGGATGGACGTGTTTGGGCATAGGGTTGGGTCAAAGATGATCCTGGAATGAATTTGTCCTAGTGTCTTTATATCTGGGAATTTGTCTAATATTCGACTGTAAAGTGTAAACATCTTCAGAGTGGAGGGAAAATGGGAAATGTGGGAGTTTGGTTAGAGGATAAAAGGTACACGTCTTAACATTCGATTTGATGTTGTAAAAACAGAGAGAAACTTCGCCGTGAGGCGAGGCGGCCGTCGAATGAAGTACCAAGTACCACAGAGGAGGTCAAAGAGGAGTGAACATGTTAATAACATACTCCGTTGGAATGTCCCTGTTCGGTTTACCATACTTGACTGACGATAAAGTAACTCGATCCTTGTTCACACTTCGCTTATTTTTAGTAAATAAAATTTACATATTCAGAAACTACATTAAAACCGCTACAAAGCCTGATCAAGAAAAGTTCAATTTGATAAAAATTTGATATATAAAGTAAAAGATTAGGAGTGACCTAAGTTGACCAATGAATAGTAAACAGGAACATTCCAACGGGACGGAGGGAGTATGTTTTTATAACTGTGTCAGTCCCAAGGTTGAAAATTGCTATCTGAGACAATTGGAGAAGATGAAGGAATACTGTAAGCGGTTTAGAGGAGTTGACGTCAGGTTTGGGCATGAGCGCAACAATGCTAGTCCTCCACCCCTAGCCTAACCAATCAAGGTTGAAATGTTGAATGTGATAGAATGTAAATGGAGACACAGGCGGTGTTTGGATCTGATTCTCAAAACTGATTCTGCTCCCTGAGGGAGCAGAATCAGAAGCTGGAGTGTTTGGGTGAAATTCCAGAAGCGCTTGTGGTGCTCTAATTTACACCCAGAATCAGTTTTTTTAGAAGCTGGGGGGGTACCAGCTTCTGAAAACTGATTCTGATTCTGCTTCTGCTTTTAAGAAAGAAGCAGAAGCAGAATCAGTTCCAAACACCCCCATAGAGATGGGTGAGGATGTATTAACGAAAGGATGACAACCATTTGCTGAGGGAGAAACAGAGGGAAGTGAGTACATTCATTTAAGACTTCAGTATAGATGGACAAAAGTAGAAATGGTGAAGTTTTTTGGGATGATCAAAAAAGAAAATTTGATCTTATATTACCGGACCGAGGTAGTAAAAAACTGATTGAAAGCACATAATAATAGATATTAATATGAAGGAGTGTCATTTCACAGTTTAATAAACAAGTCAAGCTTTTAATTAAACCCTAAGTAACTTTAAAAAAAAACCTAAGTAAACATGACTAAATGACAGAACGGTGATATCGACTTTCTCGTTAACTTCGTTAAGTTGTACGTAAACGGGTCCTTATTTTGGAGCTTATATTTGCTTCATCCGTTACTTAAAATCCTTCCCGATCTGACTTGGGTTAGAGTTTAAGAAAGTGACAATAACGTGAAAATATGTAGTTGTGGTTGAGCAAGAAAAGAGTAAATGAACGTTAATTACCCAAAACTTCCCAAAAAGGTAAATTTCTTGAGAAGATTTTTAAGGGATGAAGATAATATTATTTTTTATTTTATATTTAAATAAACATCAAAAGATACTCCATAGATAGTACTTAGAAATATACTTGAGTTCCTATTCAACTCTTATGATTTTTTTGTAGGATATGATTTACGAAAAATTATTAGTGTACATCAATAGTACACAAATATTATCTGTAGATAGTCAATTCATTTAAAAAAGACCGAACTTATGTCAAGAATGGTTCATGGTTTTATCGGGTCTCATACTAAAAACTAAAAAGGGAAAAGGTGCAAATAAGCCCATGTACTAACCAAAAAAGGTCAAATAAACCCTTATTTATGAGGCTATGTCCGATCATCGCCATTAGGGGTGATTCTCGGTGTAATTTTTTGATGAAATTTTTTTAGCATCTTATTCATTAAATTTAGTTTACTCATGCCAAATTTCAGCAAAAACTTCTATCGGGAAGACATTCAAATGAATTCTCGAAGATAACTGCGCTTTTACTTCTAGAGGTAAAAATGGACCAAGGTCTATGACAAGGTCCATATATGGACCTTACACGGGATTCGAGGAGGAAAAGTTGATGAAAAGTGGGTTAAAAGTGATTAAAAAATGAAAATGAAAATAAATTAGGAAATACGTGGGTCCTACACATAAAAATTGTGAGATAAAAAATGGGACTCATGCATAAGAGTGTGTAAGAGACCACACCCTTGCATTGGAGTTGCTCTTAGAAGTCAGAACACGTTTCGGTCTCAACTTAGGCTCTGTTTGCAAACACAACTGAGAAGTACTTTTAACTTTTTTAAATGATTTGGTAAAAAGTGATTAATGGTAAAAATTGGCAGTGTTTGAGAAAAAGGTGATTTTGAAAAATAAAAGTTGGTGTTGTTCGGTAAAATAAGTGTTTTTGTGTAATAGAAAAAGTAAAAAGCAGATTCTAGCTTTTAGTTTTTTAGTAATTCATTTAAGTAGAAGTTGTCGTTTGAAAACAATTTTTTAGTGTTTTTTGGTTGCGTTTGCAAAAAAATATACTCCAAGAGTCCATATAACAGAAAACGCGATACATCGATCTCCGTTGACCTGAACGTTTGCAGTACAATTCGTGTTTCAGAGTAAGTTTCCCGAGCGATTTTGGTTTTCTTGCTTTCAACAAAACTGGCATTGCGTTATCCCAAAATTGTATTTCTTTGGTATATGTATCTCTCAGTCTGCTCTATCTGTTTGTCACTTTCATTTTATTGATCTAACTTAATTTGACATATGACGTAGAAGTATCTGAATCCACCTTACAAGTGACAACGACGATTTTCCCCAAATGTAATCCAAAACCTATTTTTCTCATCATGTTCGGTAAGATGAATTCTGGTCCTGTAAAAAGTAATCAATTTTTTCATATTTATCTTTTATTGGAACTGATCAGCTTAAACACATTTATAAAAAATGACGAAAATTTGGAATCCATCACTTCACTGTTGCTGAGGGTTTTTAGGCGTTCTGGATCTGAACTGTTATTATACTACTGAAGAAAAGTATGACCGAATCTGAATAAATGGCAGAAGGAATTCATTGTTTTATAAAAATTAATTTATATGGTTGAATAATTGTTTTATTATTCAACCATATGATGCAGGCTTCAGCAGCCAACAAAAAACATCTTCTAATTTTTTTAATGAAAGTTCTAGTTAGTTTTTGCAGGGATTTGTTTCATTTGCTATGGATGTAAATCTGAATTGGTTGTCGTAGAAGAGAGGTCCTCAAGTTTTAATTGATGGTAGAAAAACACCCAGACAACCTGAGTGTTTTTACAGTAATAAAGCTGGGCTATTTTAAAAACACCCAGACAACCTGGGCCCGTATAGTTAGGGTTGTGCTAATGAGATAACTTAGTCTGCTAAAATTCTGAAAGGGAAAACGTTTGGTAGCATCAATTTCATCTAAATAAGTCAAAGGATAACAAGCCAATTGTGGGTACCAAATGGAGCCTAAGAGGGTGTCTGGAACAATTTTGACAGACTGATTCTGCTTTTTCAAGGATCGCTTTGAAGCAGAATCAATTTATTGAGTGTTTGGATCTCATTTAAAAAGTGCTTTGAGAAGGCCAAAGAATCAGTTTTACAGAAGCTGGGCAGTACCAGCTTTTCAATAACTAATTCTACTTCTTTTAATTTTATTCTTATAATAATACCCTCACTCAATGTGCTTTCAGATCCCTACACGCCGCATACCACATCCAACCTAGGGCATTTCTCTTCTTCACGTCATTCTACCTGCAAGTGCTTCTCTTCTCCGACCGAGGCAAACCACAATTTCCAGCCGGCTCTTCTCTTCTCTAGCCCAGGCAAACCATTATCTCCAATTGTAAGGTATATTCTGAAGTTGTGGATTTGCTGATTTTCTCTTTTATATGATTATTAACTTTGACTATGTATGTAATTATAGTCTTTGGTAATTTTTATACAATTATTTTCTTTGGGTTAGTCATGTGCATGTGATTTTCAGTGTTAACTGTTTTGATGTCTTCTTCACGTCATTGACATATGTTTTTTCTGCTAAAATTTCTGAAAGGAAAAATGTTTGGTAGCATCCATTTTGTCCAAATAAGTCAAAGGATAATAAACCAATTGTGGATTTGTGGGTACCATGATCTTGATCTGAAACTACTCACAGTCAAACTACTGATCTGAAATCCCATGATCTTGCTTTCTTTCCATGGCTTCTGCTATTTTTTATTTCTGGTCGTTATTGTTATTGTGTTGATAAACCAAAACTTTATTTCTCTGTGCATGGGTACCTGCAGATGATTAATGATCAGGACCTGGGCTTCTTTGCCAACTTCCTTGGCATCTTTATATTCGTGTTGGTGATTGCATATCACTATGTGATGGCTGACCCAAAGTATGAAGGAAACTGAGATTCACTTTAGGTATCTCGGTGCACTATGAAGTAGAATGGATATCATTTGTGTTGGCCATTTTATTTACTGAATGGATCTCATGGAATCATTTTGAAGTGGAAAAACTTTATAGACTTAACAAATGTGTTTTTCTGATCAAATTCCTTGATTTTCTGGGAAGTTGATTATACATTTGTTTCTTGCATGCAGTTACTATATCTAATTAGAGGGTTCTTGGTTCACGTAAATTTTTACTTATTTTGTTGTTAAATTGCTATGGACGAAGTGAGAGTAGTAATCTGTACCAAGGTAGTTTTTTTTAATACCAAAGAACCCAAGGTAATGACGTTATTTCTATCCAAAGGTTATACAATATTACCTTGGTAATATGAATGCTTCAAAGTTGAAATAAACGAAGCAATCTCACTTTAGGTTTATCACATTATCAAGATAATGTGAGATACTGAGATTACATGATCCAAACACCCTTTAGCATCTTTTTGATGTATTTGTGTTACTGGAGAAGTTTCATGCCCAACAGATGTATATTTGGAAAACTGAATGCTGGCCATTGGGAGGGCCTCAGGGCCATATCCATTGGGTTTTGCAACCGGTCTGTGGTAGTCTGGTTAGGTTAGCCTTGTGCTTGCACGCAATTGCACACTTTGAAGAGTGCTCAAGTTTTTGTTGCGGTGTTCTTAGTATCAGTTTGAGATACTGTTGTAAAAGGTGTGAGGCACTATGTGGGTGGTAGTCTGATACCTAGCTGGGGCTGATTAAAAAAATAGTAAGCCGTGAAATTTTTGTTAATAGTGACTAGATTGGTACAGATATGAGGTAATTAGAACAGAGG